TAAACTTGGGAAGAAAACTATAAATCACAGAGTAACCTCAAAGAAAAATGATAAACCTTCACATCAAAATAAAAAAGAGGACCAGCATAAATATTCAGCAAATACTAAAACAATAGCAATGAAGGAAGTGATAATATGATTCATAAACAAAACGGGCTCAGCATAGAAAATTACATGGAACAAAGAAATCGACACAATGAAAAAGCACATGACAAAAATGATAGCTACAAATTGATATTTGCTGATAATTACATATCTGGCAAGGGACTTATCTCTTAAGATTGATGGAAAACTCCAATGCTTCAACACCGAAGGAATTAACAATCCAATTGAAAAATGGGCAGAAGACATGAATAGACATTTCACCAAGGAGGATATTCAGGTGGTCAACTAATACACATGAAAAGATGCTCACAATCATTGGCCATTAGAGAGATGTGAATCAAAATAACAATGAGATATACCGTCTCACCCCAGCACTGATGGCAAGGTTCATTAAGACAGAAAATAACAGGTGCTGGTGGGGATGTGGAGAATTTGGGACTCTCATACACTGCTTGTGTGACTGTGAAGTTACACAACCACTGTGGAAAGCAATATGGTGATTCCTTGGAAAGTTGGAATTGGAGATACCATTTGACCCAGCAATCCCATTACTAGGGTATATATCCTAGAGAGGTGAGAGCCAGGATAGGAACAGATACATGCACGCACATGTTCATCACAGCACTATTTACAATAGCAAAAAGATGGAAACAGCCTACGTGCCCATCAGCGGAAAAGTGGATGACCAAACTATGGTACATACACATACTGGAATGCTGTGCAGCACTGAAGAAAAGTGTAGAGTCTGCAAAACACCGCATAATATGGATGAACTTGGAGGACATTATGCTGAGTGAAATAAGTCAATCACACAAAGAAGGACAAATATAGTATTAGTTTGTTGTTGTGGAGGGTCAAGGAAAGGTTTATATATGGAGGGAAACTTTCTTTATTGGTTTTCAAGGGTGGGAGGGGAGAGGAGGGGAGAGAACACTGCAAAAAAAAAATGCATTGACCCATGTCACTTCATTTTTGTGTATTTCACTGTACATAAACTATATTTCAATAAAATGCATTAAAAAAAAAAAAAAAGCATAAGAAAAAATACCACAAGTGGGTTCCTCCAAAGAACAGAAATTTATTTTCTCATGGTTCAGGAGATTAGAAGTCTGAATTCCTGGTCTATTTCTGCTTCTAGTAGCTGGCAGCAATCCTTTGTATTCCTATTATAAAAGCATTTGTCTCCATAGTCTGGCTGGCTTCCTCTTCCTCTTGTATGTGATGTGTCTCTGTCTGTTATAATTTTTTTTATAGCTCAGAAGTGATTAGGTTTAGGGTTCACCCTGTACACTGTCATTGATATAAAAAAAGAAAAACCCTATAAACAGGTACAGGGGTTAGGATTTCAACACATATTTTGGAGGAACACAGTTCAATCCATACCAGTTGAGAACAAACTGAAGCAAAGAAGAACTTGAATCAAGGAGACTAGTTGGAAACTGTTGCAGTAGCACAAGGCAAGAAACGGTGATGACTTGTATCAGTGTGGTGACAATGGACATAGAGAGAAATAATGGGATTCTGAATATATTATGAAGGTGGAGACAAGATTTCATAGTCTATTTCATATAGGATGTTAGAGTGAAGGGTCATTGGTGCCTTCAAGATTTTATATTTCATTACTTAAAAGGAATTGGGACAACAATGTGAGAAGCAGGTGGGAATAAAGGAGGTTTTCTCAGGAGCTTAGATTGGGAGATGGCTCTATCCCTACGTGTTTAATCTCCACAACTATACTGTGAGACAGGTAGTGCATCATCATTTTATAGATGGAGGCTTAGAGAGATAAGTGATGTGAAGGAGTTTAATGTATTATTAAATGGCATATTTATTGATAAGTAAAACTTTTTTTTCTCATTCTTGTTTTCTCTTTTTCCCACCATTTTCATATGATGATGTGATTTCAGTTCTTCTTACTATTCTGATAACATTCTGACATAATCCACTTCTGTATTTAAAGTATATTACTCAAAACTGATTAAAATTTGCTTCCTTTTCCTTTTCTAATTTGTTTTATTAATATTTGTTGCTCTAATATCTGAACATTTCCCAAAGAGTAATTATCTGTGCCTACTAGAAAGAGGAGATAATATGTTTATGATGTTGTGACACTGTTCAGTTTAAACTCCACTATACTGTTCTTCAAAGGAGCTCTGGTGGCATCTTGCCTAAGGCATTTGACTACTAACCAGGAGGTTGGCAGTTCAAACCCACCAGCCACTCCTCAGAAGGAAGAGTGGGCAATCTACTTCAGTAAAGATTTATTGCCTCAGAAACCCAATGGGGGTCGCTATGAGGTAGAATCAACTCAATGGCAGTGGTTTTTTTTTTTTTTTTTTTTTTAATATACTGTTCTTCAAGAGCCCTAGTGGCATAATGGTTAAGCATTCACTTGCTAACTGCAAAGATTGGCAGTTTGAACCCACCCATGGGAGAAAAGTTGTGGCGATCTCCTCTCATAAAGATTCCAAAAAAACAAAATCCAAGTTCACTGCCATTGAGTCAGATCCGACTCAGTGGCACCTAACCACAACAGCATAAGTTCTCCAATACTTAAAGAACAGCCTCTCTTCTGTGGCCAGAGAGCTAAATCACTATTTGGTGAATGTGGTTTGCATAATAAACACTTTTGCACTGTCAGACAAAATATTTTACCAAAGTAGTTGGCTACTAAATTCAATTCAGTGTAAGCTTCTGACTGTGTAAGAAGATAGGCTACTTAGGTCCAGAATTTCTGGGCCAAAACTCTTGCTCTTTTGCTTAGAAGAGGCATTAAACTGAAGGATTTTCTTGATATGATATTTGCCTCATTTCTCATTCCTTTGATAGTGTTAATGAATGAATTTTTCTTTTGAGAGAAAACTATTTCTTTTTATTCACTAGACAATGAAGCATGAATTTTAATTTTGCTTTTGGGTTTTATTTTCGCTTTTTGTTTGCTTTAGGTTGGTTGGTTAGTTGGTTTTTGTTCTCCTTTATCAAGCTTAATTGACATTAGGAATCAATCTAAACTTGAAACACATGAATTATGAAATGTTGATAAGACTTCTTTCTACAGGCAGCCAGAAAACTCTGTTGTTTTAGTTAACTCATTTTTTTCTTCCTATGAAATTCATCATGATGCTAAAAAAAAATCTTAGGTTTGTTTTTCTGCAATGAAGTATAAATAATGATGTGTCATGACCTCCAAAATTCATGATACCTGGACCCATACTAACTAAATAGATTTTACTGAAAATAGAAAATTGGAGGAAAGATAGGGTTGTTTGAGAAACTGAAGTCTTTTGTTCATGTATGCATGTTTTCTCAGAGGTATTTAGGTTTGGAAAAAACAAGCTTTTTTATATATGTAAACTTTTGTCAAGTATAAAATGTTAGGTTTTTTTGTCTTAGCCTTAATTATTAAATATTAACTAAATTCTGATAGCACAGAATAACATTAACACCATTAATAATATCATTATTAATAATATTTAATAAGCTATTTGTTGGTTTTAAATACCTGAATTTTCATATTGATTTATGTCATGTAATCTCCTAAAATTTTATTTTTTAAATTTATACCCATAATTTTATATATATATAATATATATATATATATTATATGTATAAACTGTAGTATCCTTCTCTTTTCCTTTGTTCTTTGTCTCTATGTTCCCTCTGTCTTTCATCTATCTCCCCACATACCTGGTAGGTATTCATCTATATTTTTTTCATGTTTATATGATAGTTTTCAAACATATTCATGTATGCATATATGTATGGATCTGTAGAAGCATTGTTTTGTTTTGCAAATGTGGAATTTGGCATACTTTTCTGCATTTTGCTTTTGTTACTCTAACCCAAGGAATCTCTATGAGTAAAATGGTATACCTCTACGTCAGTATCTTTTAATGGAGATTTAATATTTCTTAGTAGGGATGTATCATCAATAATTATTCACTCATTTCTCCTAATTAATAAGCATTCACTATGTTCGCAGTTTTATATCTTTGTGAAGAAATAGTGAGTAGTCATATATATACATACTTATGTACATACATGCATACAATTACATTTTAATGCTTTTATTTCTGGGAAAATTGCTAGGGAAAAGGTTATATGCTTTACTTTTAATAGATGTTCTTATATAGGTTTCCAAAAAGGTTGTAATATAATAATTTCACATTTCCTACAGCAATGTAGAGATGCTCCTGATACTGCCAGCAGTAGGTTTTATTAGGTTTTTAATAATAACAGTGACTTTCCTAAGATTATGTAACTATTAGGTTGTAATGATAGGATTCAAATGCTAAAGACCAGGCTCTTTCCAGTATGTCAAATGAAATATTTGATGAAAAGTACTTTGAAAACTAAAAATGTATACAAATTGACATGGTGGTTATATCATTATCATCATCTCATCACCAAAATCTGTGAGTTTTATTTATAAACACTGAAGTTGTTGATGTACAATGAAACTTAGGGCCAGCTTTATAGCAAAGCAGTTTTATTTTGATGAAAGAAAAATATTCATATGTTCTTTCATGATATGGTCTATGAATCAAATGTGTTAAAAATTATTTTTGTATAAATATCAATAATTGATTCTTTTAAACATTTTTTAGAACAGAAGAAAGTTAAAGTAAAAAAACCAAAACCTGAATTTCCTGTATACACACCTTCAGAAAGTACATATATTGAATCTTATGATCATGGAACTTCTATAGAAGAAATTGAGGAACAAATGGATGATTGGCTGGAAAACAGGAACAGAACACAGAAAAAACAGGTAAAGAATTTTAAAAACTTGATGTAATTGAGTAAAAGACATACAGGAAAGTACAATGTAGATTTAAGGTTGGTGAATAATCGTGAAGTGAATCCAGGTAACTGTCATCAAGATGAAGAAATAGAGCTCTGGTAGCATAATGGCTAAGACACTTGCCTGCTAACCAGACGGCTGGCGGTTCAAACCCACCAGCCACTTCTCAGAAGAAAGGTTGGGCAATCCTACTCCCGTAGTGATACTGCCTCGGAAACCCAAGGAGAGGTCGCTGTGAGTTGAGTTTGACTCGACGGCATATAACAACAACAAAAGTGTGGAGAAACCACCCTCATGCTTCCTGCCAGTAGTGTCTTCCTCTTCTTCCACAAAGGTAACAACTGACTTTTAACACTATCAGTTAGCTTTCTTGCTTTTTGAAGTTTAGCTAAATAGATTCATCCTGTTATGTATTCTTCCGCATCTGACTTCCTCTAGTCAGTATCCTAGTTAGGAGATTTATCCAGTATTACTGCATTTATCAGTAATTGCTGCGTAATAGCCCAATTATAAATATAGCATTTTTTATTTCGGTTGGATATTTGTGTTGTTTCCAGTTTGGGGCTACAATGAATAATTTCCCAGTGAATATTCTTATACATGTATTCTAGTACACATGTATCAATTTTTGGAGTTAAATTGCAAAGTCACATGGTATATATAGTTCAATTGTAATAAATACTATTTTCCAGAATATTTGTATCAATTTTTACTTCACGAACAGGGTATGAAAATTTCAGTTATCCTCTACCATTGCCAATACTTGGTCAAGTTTTTTATATTTTAACCATTCTGGTCTGTATGTAGTGGTATCTAACTATGGCTTAATTTGCGTAACCCTGATGAGTAACATAATTGAGCACCTTTTATTTTTTATTAGTGTGTGTGTTTGTGAGAGAGCGAGAGAGATTTGGGTGAGAGTTTACAGAGCAAATTAGTTTTGCATTCAGCAATCTATGCACATACTGTTTTGTGACATTTACCACAATCCCCACACTGTAGAAGCATTCTTCTCACTTCTTCCCATTGCCAACCCCTTCCCTTCGTTTTTCCTTCCCATCCCCTCCTGCCTTCCTAGCTCTATCCCTGGGCAAATGCTGTCCTCTCTATCTCTTATGCTTAACTGTTCTAATGAAAGCATACTCTCCTGATAGTACTTTTCACCTTATAGGCCTATCATTTGGCTGCTGGTTAAGTCGTGGGGGTTAGGTTCAGTTCCTAGCTTGAAGGGTGTCTAAGGGCCATAGATTCGGGGGTTCCACCGGTTTTCATCAGACCATTAAGACTGGTCTATTTTGTGATTTTGAGTTTTGTTCCACATTTTTCCACACTCTGTCCGGGACCTCTTAATTGTGATCCCTTTCAGAGTGATCAACAGTGACCACCTTTTCCTAAGTTTATTGGACATTGATTTTCTCTTTTGTGAAGTTTCTCTTTGAGTTTTTTTTAATTGGATTGTCTTTTTCTTTTTTTCATTATTGTAGTTTGGGTGAAAGTTACAGAGCATATCATTTTCCCATTCAACAGTATACACATTTTGTTTCATAACACTGGTTACAATCCCCTCCATGTAACAGCGTTATTCCTCCTTCTTCCCTGAATTCCCTGTTTCCATTCATCCTTCTTTTCTGCCGTTTCCTGCCTTCTGAGCTTTGTTTTTGGGCATATGCTGCTGTTGTGGTCTTTTATGTTTGATTGGATTGAGGAATACATTTGTCCCTCGTGTTATTATTCACTTTATTAGCCTGTTGTTTGGCTGAAAGTTGATCCCTGGGAGTGGGGGGTAAGCTCAGTTCCAGGCTTAAAGGGAGTCTAAGGGCTAGCGTCTTGGGGATTCCACTAATTTCTATCAGACCAATAAGTCTGGTCGTTTTTACGTTTTTGAATTTTGTTACATTTCTCCACCCCACCCCACCCCCTGGTCCAGTGGTATTTGGATACCATCCAGTTCTTCTGTTCTCTGGGTAGTGGAGGCTGTGGTTTGTGTGGTCTATTAGTCCTTTGGACTAATTGTTTCCTTGAGTCTTTGATTTTCTTCACTCTCCTTTGCTCTGTACAGGGACAGACCAATAGTTGTATTTTAGATGACTGCTTGTAAGCCTTTACCAGAAAACTACTCAGCAGGATGTAGAACATTATCTTTGTGGACTGTGATGTGCTATTTGATCTAATTTGTCCCCTGAGGCTGTGGCCCTTAGACCCCAACCCCAGTGAATCATTCCCTTAAGGTAGTTATGGCAAAGACATTTTCAGAACTTTGCCTCTTGTATGCCCTATAATGTTCTTGGGTATGTTTACTGCCACTGTAAATACACATGTAGAAATATCCTCTGCCAAACCTGTGTATACTCGTGAGCGTACTCCCATTTGCTTTCCCACATCTGTTGAGTGTGCATGTCTGCCTATGTATCTACTCATAGATGTTGTTTGTTATTACTATAATTGCAGTATTGTATAATAGTATTTACCTTTGTTGTCTCTTATTTTTACTCTTGTATACCTCACATTGATTTCCTTTGCCATTGGTCATGATGTCCTTTCTTCCCCTTATTTTATAGTACCTTTCCTTTCACCTCTGTTAATATGTGTCTGCTTTCTAGGCCGGGAAGGAAGTGAGTCAGCACAGCAGGGTTTGGAGCAGTTGATGGTGGCTGGGAAGTAAGTAAGCCAGAGCGAAGGGTTTGGAACAACTGAGGTACACCAGGAAGTGATCAGAGTGGTGTAGAACAACTCAGGGAGTTAAACTTGTCTATCAGTTTGTCATACTGTGGTGGTTTGCACGTTGCTGTGAGTTTGGAGGCTGTACCACCAGTGTTTCAAATGCCAGCAGGATTACCCAGGTTGAACAGGTTTCACTGGAGCTTCCAGACTGAGACAAACTCGGAAGAAGGAAGAGGTCATCTACTTCTCAAAGAATTGGCCAGTGAAAACCTTATGAATAGCAGAGAAACACTATCTGACATATTACTGGAAGACTTTATTAATAACCCTGAAATATTGTCTGATACAGTGCCGGAAGGTGAACCCCTCAGGTCCAGAAGGCACTCAAGATACGACTGGGGAAGAGCTGCCTCCTCTGAGTAGAGCCGACCTTGATGATGTGGATACAGTGAGCTTTTAGGGCCTCCATTTGTTGATATGATAAGGCTCAAGATGAGAACAGCTGCAAACATCCATTAATAATCCATTAATAATCGGAACATGGAATATATGAAGTATGACTCTAGGAAAACTGGAAGTTGTTCAAATGAAATGGAACACATAAAGACTGATATCCTAGACATTTGTTAGGTGCCGTTGAGTCATAGCAACCCCTCCTTGGGTTTCCGAGGCGGTATCACTACGGAAGTAGATTGCCCAACCTTCCTTCTGAGGAGTGGCTGGTGGGATTGAACCGCCAGCCTTCTTGTTAGCAGTCAAGTGCCTTAGGCACTGTGCTACCAGAACTCCCTCCTAGACATTAGTGAATTGGACTGGTTTTGGCCATTTTGAATCAATCATATGATCTCCTATGCCAGTAATAACAAATTGAAGAGGAGTAGTGTGGCATTCATTGTCACAAAGAGTGTTTCCAGATCTGTCCTGAAGTACAATGCTGTCAGTGATAGGATAATATCCATACACCTACAAGGAAGATCAATTAATACTACATTTGTTCATTCTTCTGGCAGTCCTTGGTACTCTCAGTGTTCTTAGCAAACACCACAACTCAAAAGCATCAACTGTTTTTCTGTCATTTTTATTCATTGTCCAACTTTCACGTGCATATGAGGTGATTTAAAATACTATGGCTTGGGTTAGGCATACTTTATTCCTCCAAGAGACATCTTTGCACTTCAGCACTTCCCCCCTCCCCTACATTAGGATGTTATTTTATTTTATTTTTAAATTTTATTGTGCTTTGGATGCACATTTACAGAGCAAATTTGTTTTACATTCAAACAGTTCGTGTACATTTGATTTCACGCCCCAGTTACCATCCATGACCATAACAAACTCTCATCCCCTCCCCATCCCTGTGACTACCTTCTCCCTATACCCTTCTTTTTTTTTTTTTTTTTTATTAGGATTTGGGTGAAGATTTACAGAGTAAATTCACTTTTCTCCCTATACCCTTCTTAACTATGCACTCCTATCTGACCAGATTTCTGTCTATGTGAATGCTGCCCCTCTGGTGTCTCATGGCTGATTGCTCTAAAAGGTGCATCTCCCTGGAGTAGGTGGGTACATCACCCTGGGGTAGGTGTTCTGCATGTAGGTCTTCCTGTTGTTGGGCTGAGAGCCAATCCATGGGAGTGAGGCCATTTCTAGGCCCAAAGTATAACTCGGGGCCATAGTCTTGGGGGTTCCACCAGACTCTATCCAACCAGTAATTCTAGTCACTTTTGTGTTTTTGAATTTTATTTCACATTTTTCCTCTCACTCTAACCAGCATCTGCAGTTTTGATCCCTTTCTGAGTGATTGGCATTAGTAGCCAGACACCATCTAGTTGTTCTGGTCTCGGAGTCGTGAAAGCTGAGGTCCTCATGGTTGATCTTATCCTTGGGACTCATTGTTTCCAGATGCCTTTGATTTTTAACACTCTTCTTTGATTCAGATGAGAGGAGACAATAGTTGCATCTTAGATGGCTGTTCGAATGCTTTTAAGACCCCAATTGCTACACACCAAAGTAGGTTGTGGAATAAGATTTTTATGTACTATGTTTTGCCAATTGAGTCTGTTGTCCCCCTGGACTTTGGTCTCAAGTCAGCAGGTCCAGAGATTCTCTGTCTCAACGTGTTTGGTTGTCTCTGTGAGGTTACTCCAAATCTGTCTTATGTTGCTTCTGTAATATGTGTGGCTAATTTTGTAGCACAAGTGCATATATAAGATTATCTTCAGCCAAATTTATCCTTGGTCTGAGGTGCATTCTTGTTCACCAACTCTCACCTGATCTTCTCACCTATCTATGCATTTATCCATAGC